AATAATTACCTCACTGTAATTTCTGTTGTGTTTTATTTTATATCATATACTTGTTTGCTGATAAAGGTTTGTCACATAACTCGTCCAAACACTTTCCACCTACATTTTTAAACTGTTATCGTAGTTATTTGGGTCCGCATAAATATATCTAGCCCCTACAAGCTGGCAACACTGTTATTGTTTGTGTCTTGGCACACATTTGGCAGGAATAGAAATGACTGAAGTTCCTTCAAGGGCAATTAGAAGAATTTACCTGCACTTTGTTTTTCCCCCAACTGTTTACATTTTGATAATCTATTAACCTTAAATAAACTATTGTGCTGCTGGTATCTAAACTATGTACAAATGTCAATGTTACACATTCCTGTTCTCTATATGATTATTTTTGGTTTATTTTTCACTAAGGCAGAGATCAGGCAAAGAACTCTAGAACATAAGATTACTCACTATTATTAATATATTTTATTAATTATGACCTTTTTATCAAACAACTTAGCATAAATGTCATAATTCAAGCAATACACAATGGACAGAAAAATATTAATACTAAAGGGCCAGACTAAATAATACAAATAACAAATATGAGGAACAAAAATAACTTACTTAGGTATATCACAAGTAAATTTCTATTTAATATAAACAGTAAGTTAATTTTTAAATGGTTATTATATAATTTGTAAAGCACAATGTATGAAAAGTCTAGAAATAGTTAACCATGTCAAACAGTTAAATAAGTAGTACTAAAGTACTAATATATACATATAGATCAATGTATACTGTTCACACACAAAAAAAAAAAAAGAAAGGCTGATAGCGCTTTCCTGTTCCAAAACAAACCAAAAAAAAAAGTTTAAAAAAGGAAGAACACATGATTACTAGTTGGGGGGAAAGCTTGCATGCCTAAAAACTATCAAATGACACAGATGGAAAAGAACTTTCAAATGACTGAATGAATCCTATGGTATTCTTCTGTGCACTTTGAAAAATTTCACTTATTAAATTACAAAGATTTTGAATGGCAAAAATTCTGTCAAAATTAGGTTCATTCCAGTAGCTATGTGTTTTTGTTTTTTTTAATAGTAAAGTGTCATTGAAAACCTATGCAATTCTTTTTTTTTTTTTCTCACAGTATCTTTAAATCCCCTCAAACACAATGTCCACCTACATAATAACATGTAAATACTAAAAGGTACACATTTTCTTTTGTAATATATAAGTAGGTAAGGAATTTTTTTTCCACTTCAGTGGCACATCAGGCATATAACAATGGACTAACAGTTTATTAATTTTTTTTTAAAGATCTTTCAGTCCTCGACAGGTGATGTCACATCACATCAGCTACCTTTACTTCCCAAGATTTTACCTGGTACCCATTTTTAGTTGGGTTGACCTCTGAGCCAAGGTAATTACTGCAAAAAATAGATGGCTGGTCACACACACAAACATGTAAATAACCAACAAACATTTAGATTTAATACAGCTAAAAAAAAACAAAAACAACAACTAACAAACATCTACGTCTGTGGTTTCCCATCATTTTCAGGTGGCACAACCCCTTAAACATATGGCAAGACCACCAGTAATAAATGATAGTGGTTAATGTGGAACAAGCAAAATGGTTCAGTAATGTTGCATCATTATCACCAGAAAGTACTCTACACACAAAAGCAGTATCCTTGAAACAGCAAACAAGCAAAAATTCCATCAAGTCAATGATGGATAAATAGCAAGCACTGTCCATCAAGATTTTTGGGTACAAGGCACAAACGAAAGCTGGTTTCAGAAATATCTACCTAAGTTAAAAAACAAAACTAGAAAAAATGAAAAACTTCTGCATCACCTCCATCAACTGGATCTACAAACATGGGCATGGTGGAATAAAAGATCATGAATGAGCAGACCAAGACGCAAGTAATGCACCAAAACATGCAGGGAAAACAATGATACCATCAAAGCTGAGTAGACTAGAGTGATGGACAACAATGAGCATCTGATTTAACATGATTATATGACCTGGGAGTAAAGCCCAGTAAAGCATGTATACACCACCTTTGAGGTCAAGTCAAGGAGGCAACATAACCAAGTTCTGGAGAAAACAGTCAGATGCTGTACTCTGGAATGGCTGTTGCATTGGAGGACACATAAGAAATCCTACAGTGCAGTGACACTGATTGATTGCTATAATATAACGAAGCCTTCTCTGTATTACCTAATATCTAGGCCTAAACAAGCCAGGAAAATAATAAACTTGATGTGTTTTACTAGCCTGATGATAATAAAAGGTGCATTTAACTTTTTTACTTGTGATTGTTGGGAGTTGCCATGGCAGAGCGGCCATGGGTTCGCTCCCTGGTGGAGCCGAACGTTTTGAAAAAAAATGACCTTGGCTCCCAGGTCGACCCAGCCTTGAGTGGGTACGGGGTGCAGTCCTGGTAAGTAAAGGCGGCCGGCGTGATGCTGACCACATCACCCATCTTGCGCCGATTGGTCTATAAAATATAGGTCTAGCCTATGCACCTAAAGGCGTGGAAAAGGGACCTTTTACTTACTTAATTTATGAATGTTACGGAAACAGGCCAAAATGTCTCTAACTATACAGGATGTGTATTCAGTATATTTAAATGAGAAGAGAAACGAGTTACAGCAGATCATGTTAACGAACAGATATAACTATTAAAAAGTAAAGTACAGTCAAGGTAATTTTTTTCTTCTTTTTAAATTGACTCATTATGGGTGTGAACTCACAGCCTTTTTGGGTGTGCAGTCAAAAATCTAACCCCTACCAGCTGACAGCACTGTTTTTGTTTGTGCCTCGGCACACATTTAGGAGGTTCAGGAATGACTGAAGTTACTACAATAGCATATAGAGGGGTTTGCTTGTTTTATTAATAGAAAATATAGTGACATACTTATCCAACTGGTCAGTGTTAACCTGCTACTGAAGCACTGGGTAACAGTTTAGTCACCATAACAATTCATTTTGGACTTGCAGAGATTTGACCCAGTTAATTCTCTGCTGCACTGATGTTTACTATTGACTCCCCATATACTGTATGGAATTTATATTTTGGTCGATAAACAGAAATGTATTTTTTTGGGGGGGGGGGGGCAATCCCCAATTATAAGTCACTGGCATAGTATTTGCTTAGGTCATAGGGACAAAAGGATTGATGCTGGGTTAAATAAAGTGAGTCTTCAGTTTTAATTAGAACTAATCAAACAAGTTTTATAACAACAACAAAAAACAAAAAAAGAAGCATTCAAAACAGTTAAACAATAGCATATTAAATTATTACTAAACTAAATGGAAAACAAATGGACTGAGGGAGGTGGGGATGTCCAAAAGAAACCCCAAGATGAAGGGAGGCTGATGACAGAAGCCAAATGTGTTTGCTTAGATTCCATTAATGATACTGAAACAACTGCACACAATAGAATGGAATGAAAGAATAAACAGCAAGCCCTGTGTCTATAACTGCACAAAGAGAAAAAGATAACATTTATATATGTCGAAAACAATTAATAATACCATACAAAGCTTTCAAGACTATACAGGATAATTTTCTCCTCCAATTTACAGAAATAAGCATCTATTTCTAAATCTGGCACATGACAGTGATATCACTCATTTTTTTAGAATCACGTTAGCAAGATATGTAATCACATTGGCAATGCATGTAGGCACATTCAAAGACAAACAAAACTTCCTTTTTAAAATATCTGTAAACATTAATGCATCTATACTTGAATGTTGAATTAAAAAATCAACATCACAACACTCAGGACACTCCCCCCAACTGCAAGTGAAGAGTTCCGACTCCGATGGTGCCAGTAACCCTCTGCTGTATTTCAACTTTATCCTTCCCCTGAGTGTTAAGCGTTGGCCAGATCCCCTGGTAACTCTTTGCAGTGACATTCTCCTCAGACCGTAAGGATCCATCTGTGCCTCTGCACTGTTCATGTTAGTATACATCTATACTAAGACAGTGTAATATATCTAAAGCATACAGCAAAAGCTGTTACATAACAACTACAGTAAGTTTTGTTAAGCATTTCAACAATCATCTGACATATTTACAGATTTGTGTGGTTCCTTCCAGGAATTTTTTTAAGGGTTTTTCAAGGTTTATAAAAAAAGCTACCAAAACCATACAGTTTTTGCAGCCACTCATTTTTACTCTTGTTAGTGCTATACTTTTAGAGCATTTGGCTAAGTGTCTTGAACCAAGATTCTCATTTGGTTTCAAATCTTTGGTAAGGTGATTGTACTGTGTTTCATTATGTCATGGAGCAAATATTAAATCATAACCTAAACAGTTCATGAGAGCTGCCATAGTGTAGTGGCTGGATACTCACCTCCAGATCATAAGGTCGCAGGTTCAGGTCCTGTTGGAGCTGGACTATTTTTATTTCCTTTTTTCAAAAATGACTTTGGCTCGTGGGTCAAACCAGCCTTAAATGGGGACTAGGTAAAGATCTGGAAAGTAAAGGTGGTCAGTGTGATCCTCACTACATTACCCACTAAGTGCCAATTGGTCTATAAAATACAGGTCAAGCCCTATATGCCTAAAGGCAGGGAAGAGGGTCTTTTACTTTACTATTTTTACACAGTTTATGGTGAATATAGTAACCATGTTGCATTAATTCTTCTTTTTATAGTCCATGTCATGTGGCGCTGGTAGTCATGTCCTATTCACAACCTTTTATCATGTGTCCTTTCAATCATTTCTGACACCGATGATCTTCCATGCCGAATTGAACATCATCTTCTGTCTAGATCTCCTTCTATTTTCGAAATCCTCTAACTTTCCAACTATCACGAAGCGCATTCACTGTGCCTAAGCCACAGGTGTTCACATTGTAAGACAGTGTTTATTAATTATATGTTCTGTAGGACAGCAATACTATCTGAGAATAACCCATGATTATAGCGAACCATTCATATAATTGTCTGACATTTCCTCAGAGATGTCAGACAGTTTAACAAACTGCAAAGGTATTTATAATATAGAAGTTTTATAACTTGAGTATTTAGTCACAAGAAGTGTTTTATCTTCAGGTTTAACGTTCTCTACGAGACCTCCTAGTTTGACTCGATATGTCCTTGCACCCCATTTGATATAATGGGGATTAATAACACCTAGGATAAAAATACAGGTGGCAGTCAGCTCTCTCACAATCCATGCAAGCACATACTCTGGCTTTGAAAACAATAAGGGACCATTCTGAAATGAAATAAAATATAAATAAAGAAAAATTAAAATGTCAAAAAGTGTTAGTCATCTGTTATAAGAACTGACAAACCCAATGTATAAGAATCCACAAACAATAGTAAATAGGACACTAATGTTAAATAAACACTATACAAACTAGGAAATTGCTTTGGTACTAATGATAAGCAAAAATATCTTTTGAACATGGCACACACACGGATGTCTTAGAAAAGTAAACCAATATTTAAGTCAACATCTTCTGAAATGTTATTCTCTCTACTTCCCTCGTGATGGTTGTGGGGCCTCAGTTTAGGGAAAAAGGAATAGACTCACTGCCTCCCCCACGTCATAAAGTTTTAAAGTTGGAATGCATCTGTCTGAGAGGCAAGGAACCAACAGTCTGCATAGCCATACGCCAGTTCTGTAAAATGGATATTCATGCAAAACTCAAGTTCCGGAACAAGTCCAAAGTCCAGAAGTGGATGAAACACCTTACCTTTCAACTGGAATTTACAGCTGGTGAACATTAAAACGAAGAAGGAGATTCTCTCTACTTGTTAAAAGTTGCTTCAGTCTTTGAATTATGTGGAGACGAGGCTAATAATTCTGCAAATGTGTAAGGATGCCCTTTTTTGTGAATGGATCAAAGTCGATCAAGCCTCAAATGGGTACCAGGTGCAGTCCTGGGAAGTATAGGGGGATGACGTGATGCTGACCAAACCACCCACAGAATGCTGACTGGTCTATAAAATGTAAGTCTAGGACTACATGCTGGCATTTGATGGGCGATGTGAACCTTTACCATCAAAATCATTTTCTGGTGCCCATTTAATGCTGGGCTGACCAGCAAGCCAATGTTTTAAACAAATTTTCAACTCATCTGAGATTTAATGATGTGCCAGCAGGTATATACTAATTCTTCTTAAAGTCCATACCGTGTGGTGTTGGTAGTCATGTGTTTTTAACAACCTTCTGTCTCGTGTACTTTCAGACAACTCCGACACAGATGATCCTCCAGGATATGATGTCAAACTGTCCAGCCTTTTCTCTCTCGGCCTCCTTCTGTCTGTCGTCCTCTATAACTTTCCTACTGACACGATGTACTCCAGTTTTCTCCTTCTCATCACATCTCTCTTTCCGATGTTGGCAATCAGTTCTCTTCGTGAGTCAATTTCTTTCAAGACATATTCTTTACATATTGGTTTTCCGGTTTGTGTCAAGATGGCGGGACGTGTTTCTCTCTAGCTCGGCGCATATCGGTTGATCGACGGTCCGACAAGCTGTCATCGCAAAACCACCAATTGTTATAGAATCAGATTTCTGACTCTAACTGCACGATGATTCGTTCTAATCTGTTAAATTCCAAGGACATCTTTAAAATTGGTTACTGGAATGTTAGAACCATGTACCAAACGGGGAAAACAGCTCAAGTGTGTAATGTTGTGAACGATTACAACCTGGATATTCTCGGTGTCAGTGAGTGTAGATGGACTGGTTCGGGTAAAATATTTTTAAGTTGTGAACAAAAACATATAATCTATTCGGGAAGAACAGACAACCACCATTCAAACGGAGTCGCCATCATTTTGTCAAAAACAACGGAAAAATCGCTAATCGGCTGGGAACCAGTAAATGACAGAATTTTAACAGCGCGTTTTCAGACCAAACATTTCAAACTAACTATTATACAGTGCTAGGCACCTACAAACAACGACACCGACAGCAACAAAGATAATTTCTACGACCTCCTGGTTGGTGTCATAAACAAAACTCCTAAGCACGACCTCCTTGTTGTAATGGGTGATTTTAATGCCAAGTTAGGGTCTGACAACAAAGGTGTTCAAAAATATATGGGAGTACACAGCCCAGGAGATATGAATCAAAACGGAGAGAGGCTAATTGAACTCTGTGAAATAGCAAATCTAACATCAGCAAGCTCCTTATTTCCGCATAAAGACATACATAAAATAACCTGGATTTCGCCAGATAACATAACAAAAAACCAGATAGATCATTTTTGCATCAGCGCCAAATTCCGTACATCAGTGCAAGACGTTAGAGCCTACAGGGGAGCTGATATTGGCAGTGATCATAATCTTTGTATTGCCAAACTAAAAATTAAACTCAAGTCTCTACTTAAACCACCCAGAAATAAGAAAATAAACTTACAAGCCCTTTTGTCAAAAGATCATCAAAGCGCATTTAATGCAGAGATACTCACCACCTATGTAACCAAAACTAATAATGCGGATACTACAAATAACATAGACACAAATTGGGACTTTTTCAAGAACACACTGACGAACGCTGCAGTAAACACAGTTGGTTATGTACAAAAGCAGAAGAAGAAGTGGCTAAGCGACAACACTTGGTCAAAAATCCAAGAAAGGAAACAAGCAAAATTAACACTTTTATCCAAAAAAGACACATCTTCATACGAAAAATACAGCACGCTAGACAAAGAAGTGAAATCAAATGCAAGGAAAGACAAACAGAACTTCATACACGACCTCGCCTCCGATGCTGAAACAGCTGCCAAGATTGGAAACAACAAAGCCGTATTCCATATTATGAAACAACTGTGCAATCACTCACCTACACTAAATACACCCATTAAAGACAAGCAGGGTAAACTACTGCTATCCGACGACCAACAAACAAAGCGATGGGCAGAACATTTCAAGGAAATATTAAATAGGCCAAATCCTGACATCATTGCCAATTTAGAAGAAGAAATTATTACACCAACACTAATTGCCTCCAGCGAGTCATTCACAATAGAGGAGATTAAAACAGCTATTAAAAAATTAAGAATAAACAAAGCTACCGGAGAGGACAACATCTCAGGAGAAATGCTCAAAGCAGCGGATGAAAACACCCTGCAACATTTGCTCCAGCTGATGGATGAAGTCTGGCAAAACGAATACCCACCACAACAATGGAAAGATGGTGTAATCTTCAAATTACCTAAAAAAGGTGATTTATCCGATTGTAACAACTGGAGAGGCATCACCCTGCTTTCGATACCAGGGAAACTATTTTGTAGTATGCTACTAGAAAGATTGAAAAAATCCATAGATGAAAGATTAAGGGAAGAACAAGCCGGTTTTAGATCCAAGCGGTCATGCATAGACCACATCTTTACTCTTAGAATAATTGTTGAAGATTCTACAGAATTCCAGTCGAAATTATTGATCAACTTTGTCGACTTTCAAAAAGCCTTCGACAGTATCCATCGTCCAACACTCTGGAAATTGCTTAACATCTATGGTTTCCCCATCAAATATATCAACATCATAAAATCTTTTTATAATGAAACACGATGCTGTGTAAGAACTGATTCCGGCAATTCTGACTGGTTCCCGGTGGAAACAGGAGTGAAGCAAGGCTGTGTCCTATCGCCGATGCTTTTTGGTATAGCAATCGACTGGGTCATGCGCAAGTGCATAAATAACGCAAATTTAGGCATTACATGGGTTGACAAAATTCTGGAAGACCTAGACTTCGCTGACGACATAGCACTCCTGAGTTCAGAACACACAGACGCCCAAGAAAAAATCAATCGACTCCAGAATTTCTCAGAACAAATTGGACTCCAAATTAACACCGCAAAAACAAAAATTCTAGACCTTACCAACAGTTCAGTTGATATCACGCTGAACAACAACAGCCTTGAAAAAGTCAACAGTTTCACTTATCTAGGGAGCAAGATGTCATCTACAGGAGATACCGCACCAGAAATATCATTTAGAATAGCACTGGCATCTAGTGCCTTCAATAAACTGTCTAACATCTGGAAATCAAAGACACTTAGCAAACACACAAAACTCAAGATCTTCAATTCTTGTGTGATTCCAGTACTAACCTATGGATGCGAGAGTTGGAAATCAACGAAAACTCTAGACACAAAATTAGACAGTTTTGAAAATAAATGCCTTAGAAGAATACTAAATTTCAAATGGTCAGATTTCCGAACCAATACACAAATAAGGCAAGAATCCAGGCAAGAGTATGTGTCTAATTTTATACGAAAACGCCGCTGGAACTATGTCGGCCACGTCCTTAGAATGGATAAATCAAGACTTCCTTACCAAGCCCTCATTTGGACACCACAGGGGAAAAGATCTCGTGGAAGACCAAGGGAAACCCTACGTAGAACTATCATCAGGGAAGGCTCGCTCATGGGCCACTCAAACATCCAAGACCTACAACGGATTGCAACGGACCGCCGTGCATGGAGAGTCACGACCTCTGCCCTATGTGCCGCACTCGACACAAGAGGAAAGACTAACTAACTAACTAACTAATATTCTTTACTCTTTTTATTTGTCCAGGGTATTCTCATCATTCGTCTATAAAACCACATATACACAGCTTCTAAATAAGTTTTCTGATATCTGATATACTGATTAGCACCACATTTTCATTGAAAATATATATATTCCCCAAAAAAATACTTCAAAAGTTTCCCCAAAAGAAAATTTCGCTATATATTTATTTATATTTGTTTTAAGCTAAAATCTGCACAACTTAGCACTTGTCTCCACAAAATACCTTCTTCTTCTTCAGCATTCTGAGTCCTGGAGGTTTACTGCTGCAGATATCACCTGCCTTGATTCATCTCTCTAGTTGGCCTTCTCTTTTCAGTTGGTAACACCAAGTGTTTGTAGGTCTGTCTGGATATTATCTCTCCATCATCTTTTTGGTCTGCCTTGTGGTCGACAACCATTCAGCTCCCTTGGGTATACAGTTTTTACCTCTCTGTCATCTGACATTCTCTCAATATGCCCCAGCCATTTCAGCCTATTAGCCCTCAAGATGCCAGTGATCAATGGTGATTTAAATAGATTATGAATTTTGTTGTTGCTTCTCACTCTCCACTCCTACTGTTTGCATATTTGATGGGTCAAAAGATTCATCATAAGACTCTTGTTTCCAGAAATTTGTAATAAGGCTTCATCTTTTTAAGTTGTGCTCCAAGTGTCAGTGCCATATAAAATGACTGGTTTTTACCAACGTTTCACATATTTTGATCTTGGTTCTGTGAGATAAAGACTCTGACTTTAGCAGATGTTGAAGGGCATAGTATACTTTATTTCCAGATTGTATTTGCAAAATATAAGATAAGAAAAACATGTCTGCACAATCAAAATATGCTAAAAAGCAAAAGGCCTGGTTTAATAGTAGCTTCAAGAGTACATACATGCATTATAAGTACATGGTAACAAATCAACCTCTCCCTATACAGAAAATGACAAAGTGACATATAAATCAAATACTTACTGCAAGCAAACGCATTTGAACAAATGACATTAGTTAAGAAATATTCACATTAACTGAACTTCATGTTGACAATTTTACTTAAGATACTTATTATTCCTTTATGGTTCTCATTTAAGGTGCATAAATCTCGTTTTCACCACGCCTCTCATCCTCCCCTTTTCCCCGAAGAGTTTTTGATAAGAGATTAATTTAGATTAAACAAAAACATTTGTAACCACAGGGAAGAATTTCACTAAATGCACATACCTGAACTGTAGAAAGCTGGATATAATCCAGAACCATCCATGACAAAACATGGCAGATGAAAAATATGAAGGGATTCATGCAGAAAAAATGATACAGTGCCCAGCCAGCCCATACTCCCAAAGGAAAACAGTCAGCAATAGGCTCAAGAATCCCTGCAACTACTGTCACCATATTCAGACGCAGTCTGAGCCACCTAGAGTAGAACAGAAAATCAAACCAATGCAGGCATATGTGTAAACTATGAGCCCCCCCCCCCCCCACCTTTCCTCCCCTTTAGAGAATGGATCATGTCTTCTTCTTCTTCACATTCATCAGCTGTAAACTTCAGTTCTAGTTCTTTGTCCACCTTTGGACGTTAGTCTTATTTCAGAAATTGAGTGTTGGATCCACATCGATTTTACAGATGTGACTTATTTGTAAGCACACTGTTGGTTCCTTGCCTCTCAGACAGATACACTTTTTCGAAACAAAGTCCCTTATTAGTAGATTCTTATATGATTTTTGGGGAAGCAGTGGGTCTATTCTTGTTTCCTCATGATGGGGCCATGGAACCAAAATAGGGAAATGGATCTTTTTATTTTGGACTTAATCTGTAAACTCTCACATGTCCTAAATAATGCACTCTGTGTGTTCTTTGGAACCCACACAGGGACAGGAAGATTAAAAAATGGTGCTTTGGGGAAAGAGGGGTTATAAATGTGTATATTTTTTTAGGAATTCTTCACAAGAACTCAAGACTACACAAATGCCTAGTTTTTGAAAACATAAAAAAAAAAACTGAGCTAAAACAGTTACAGAAATCAAAACTTTCTTCCCTTACCTGACCATTCTTTCCACAAATTTACTAATTGTAGTCTGACCCATATTCTGTTTCGCTGGAAAAGCAGATAACACTATTCGACCCCTGAATAAATATTTTAAAAAAAAGACATTTAGTTTCTTGTGAATAAGCAAACTTTAGACTTAGTAATCTGACATTTTTCACTAACAATATGAGAATTAGTTTAAGTTACAAGAAAAAAGTAATCTACAGCAGCTACTGCCTTTAAATCGCAAAGTCTTCACAAAATACTCAGTGGTTTGAGTGCTGGTTTTGCTCATCTTTCTACAGATTTCTTCTTTATAGAGTCTTCTCCCAGACAAGCCACGGTTTCAATTTTCCGGCCTGCACCATGTACTCTGACAAGTCCTAGAAAATTCTGAAATATATTATCCAGTTTATGAGCCAAGTCAGCCACGTGAATGTGTGGTCAGAAATAATACCCGGTAACTGTTAAGGATTTACTGAACCACTGTCTTAAGCTTTCTATTTTGTAAGAATCTTAAACAATGACCTTTTTTGTTTTAAATTTCTTAACAAGGAAACATATTGTTATAATTCTCTGAAACTATAACATAATAAGCAAAAGCAGTGGTTCTCAACCTGCCAATTGTAACCTTTTTTTGGGTCGAATGACCTTTTCACATGGGTCACCAAAAAGCATAGGAAAACACATAATCATTGAAGTTATGACGAAAAATAATTGTCTATGTGTCGCCACAACATAAGGGAACTGTAATAAAGGGTCGCGACATTACAAAGTTTGAACAAACGAACGAACAAACTTTTTTTTTAAAGGGTTACAAATTGGGCACGCAGGCCCGTCTGACATTCGGTTCTTCTAAGCATTTATTTTTCAGAGTACCAATGCCTGTTATCAATAATGCATGTTATGGATATAATAAAGAAATATGCATTATATAATAGTGCATACACACATCATGTGTACACAATCTTACACACTCACACACACGTATATATACTCTTACATTCTCATACATGCACATTCATATACAGACAAACCTAATACATACATACACGCATCTACATACATACACAAACAGAAAACACACACCCACACATAGACATAAATGCACAAACAGAAAACACACACACATACATGCACACACAAATTCATTCCATACATACACACCTACACATGCATGCATGCATACACACACATACAATCACATGTATGACACCCACATACACCCACACATTTACACTCACATGCATACGTACATACACACATGGATACATATACACATCTATACACACATACATACATACTTGCATACATACCTAAATACACCCACATTCTTACACTCACATGCATACATACATATGAGAGCCACTGAGCTAGTGGAAGGGAAGAAGAAGCAGAAAAAATCTGGAGTCTTGGTCAGTTTTTATAAAAATCCAGTTGGCTGAAACCTATGACCAATGAGCAGACAGGTTAGCCACTGCAATATGGCAGCCATTAAGTGGTGAAAAATAATTTATTTTTTACATTTAGTCACAATTTTGCATGAAGTGATTTTTCACATGAAGGGAAGTAATCACTAAATACAAAAGCAGCAATTAATAGTTTTCCCCCTTTTAATCACAAAAAATGTAATTCATAATGAGCTTTTTTGTTTCTTTTTGTGTGTTTTTTAGAGATCACTGTAACATCACACACAAAAACCAAAAAAAACAATTTTTTTTCCCCCCAAATAATATTGACCGAAAATGTGTTTCAAAAAGTTCAATCAAACATCACTATATTAACACACTATGCAGCTGCAACCAGTACCAAAGCTGTTATTTACACATAATGACCACTTTAAAGAATTTTGTTTAAAAAAAAAAAAAAATCACTCTAAAGGTTATGCTCTGGAAACTCTTTAGATAAATTGCTAGCTAAAGACCCCCATTCCCACGTTGACGTATTAGCGAAATTGTGCTAAGGACAGAATTCAAACCAAGCAGTGCTTGATGGATAATGTAACGAATGTGAGCTTAATCAATTTAGCATTTTAATTAAACTAGCGTTTTCCAACCCAAATAGGTTCTGAGACCCAATTCTTACTAATTAAGAGTGTTTCCTTCAAAGCCATGAGGCATTTGCCTGAAAGGCAAGGAACCTACAGTCTGCATACAAATAGGTCAGATCTGTACAGCAGATGCATATGCAAAACTGAAGATGTGAAATAAGACTGAAGTCCAGAAGTGGAAACTAAAGTTTTTAGCAGGCAGATGTGAAAAAGAAAAAGAAAGGAGCTTTTCTTTTACACATTTCAATGGATCGGGGTCAATCATGAAGTCCTGTGGGCACCTAACAAAGAAACCCTACCTATAGATGGATTTAAACAGAGCTATGAAAAAAAAAAACACATATCAACAATGAAGATTTTCAAAGACATCCTAAATTACATAATAATAATTTTCAAACAAAGTGCATGAATAAAAATATTAATCCAACATTAGCATTTTCAAGTTTAAAAAGACATAAACTTAATTAGGCATACTTTTTATGCAATTCTCTGGACAGAAAAAAGTCCTCTGCCAAATAGCGCCCATACCAAGCCAAACCATTTGCTTGGTCCAGTAAGGCTTTCTTAAAGATGTAGGACATGCCAGTCACACAGCCCAGTCCCAACATGTTGAAGCATATGTAAAATCTGTTCATAGCTGCGCCAAAGTAAATCTAAAAAAGTGCACATCAAAGAAAAATGTGTGTGATGATTACAGTCAAGCAGAAAGAAAAAAAATACAGTTTATTAATAAAGCCGAAAGTGTATTAATATAGACCAAGTGGCACTCAGAGGGTAATGTAGTCAAAATCCTGCTACCTGCCTTTACTTCCTGGGACAATAATTGATACCCATTATGGGCTGTGTCTATCTGGGAGCAAAAGGTCATTTTTGGAAAATAAAAACAATCAAAATCACCGCGCTTTCCCATGTGTATTTAGTTCTCTGATTTAGAAGCCACTCCAAGGTATACTGATTGTTCCCATGAAGAACTGGTTATAGTATCTTCTATCTAAGCCTTGAAGGCGGCACAGACATGCTTCACTCCCATTCACACAATCGTGTTAGTGTCCACTAACCTGGCCTCAACAGCACTGATATCTGCTCTGCCCATGCTTCTTCACACATGCTTTGGTGCATTGCTTGCCAGTTGGTCAGCTTGTTTATCACCTTTTATGCGGGCAGGGCCAGGTGTATAGATCTAGGTAAAGGGAGGTTAAGTGCAATTGCCGAAGGCTTTTTACCGATTCAGAGCATATACTACCAGTGGCGATTTTCTGAAGCATGTTTATTACACTGTGCTAGCTACTTAATTTTAAAAATTAATCGAAACCTAATGGGTTAATGTCATGCTGGCTTCCTTTGCATCTCAGAATATTGTACCTGTTTTAGACTGGACTTAATCTGATTTTAAACAGCTATGCAAATGGCAGATTTGAATCAATAAACCGATGGCCCACAATTTAACAATTTTATCAGACATGTTAATCCCTGAAAATGAGATGCAGCAGGATAGCAGCTAGACATTTGCTTGCAGGTCTAAAGGTCTCAAGTTTGTAAAGCCTCATCTAGCCAGATTTTAAAAATAAATGACCTAGACTTCCAGGCTGACAAAGCCTTCGAGTGCCAACTGGTCTGTCTAGCACCAGATTTCTAATATTACTAATAAGCATCACTCCTTAGAGGCTAACTTGCCGCAAATTTAAATAAAAGAATTGATAACATGCTGGATTTAAAAAAAAAAAAAATTTTTTTTGCCTAAAGAGTTAAAATAGGCTTCAAATTTTCACCACTTCATAAAATAAAAATTAAACAGTGAAATTTAATAAAATGCAAGTTCTTCATAGAAGAATGAGACAACTATGCACAAAGTTACCTTTTCAACAGCAGATGCAAATCCAGGGTTGTCAGACGTAAATGGAACCTGATGCACTAAAGCAACATTCGACTTTTGCAGCTTGCTGGCCATATCAAATAAAATTTCACTTGATGCTAAGAGTTAGAATGATTAATAACTCATTACTTAGACATAAGATTAAGACTGATTTATAACTAATTGCATTTCATAGTTTATAAAAGTGATATTCAACCTTTTTCAGGTGGTGTCACCTTAAATATATGGCAAGGGACCCCACCTTTAAAAAAAAATGCTTAAAAAAGAGGACAAGAAGAAAAATGCAAAACGCTGTCAACAAATGAGGATTTGGTTTGATTTGATTCAAGAACCGACGTCACAGAACTCGGGGCATTCCCATAAGTGCTCAGTCCCCATCTTCAGCAGCCAGTGAAAAAATCCAGAACAAATGAAGAACATCCATTTTTATACACAATTTTTAAAATGTTTGACGTATAATTAAACTGGAAAAAAATATTTAGCAGGACACATTGTTAAATTTTAGTATAACAGATCATACTGCAAGAGCTAATACTCTCAGTTTTAAAACTGTCTGACCCCCCCCCCCCCTACCCTCCCCCAAAATGATGGAACCATTCGTTTATATGATGTTCGTTTTTGTATCATTTCTTATTTACAAAACTGACAACAGAAAATTTAGAGAAATTAACAAATATAAGTTATTCTAAAACCTACAATGAAACTACTAAGATGTTAATAAAACAGAATGTTATTTCCAGGACGTAGGACTTTTCTTGTTCTTTGTGTTCTCCGGCTTTAAACTCTGGCAGAAAGTTTGGGTTGTTCATCCACTTCTGGACTTAGTCTTGTTCCAGAACATGGGTGTTGCCTGCACATCCATTTTACAGATCTGACTCACTTGCATGCAGATTGTTGGTTCTTGCCTCTCAGGCAGATGCACTCAAACTGCATAGGAAGCCCCCAATTAGTTGACTCTTATGTCTCCTTTTCAGGAAGGCATTGGGTCTATTCTTGTTTTCTCAAAGATCAAGTGTTAGGCCTTCAAACGTTCTTGGTCACAGCTTATTGAGTGAGGCGTTCGGCCCCTTCCCTGATGAGTTTCATTCTCAGACAATTCTGAAAATGATCTAATACCCACTTGATAAGGCGAGGTAAACCCCTAGAGCCAAAGTGGCAAGAAAAGAATTGCTGTTTCTACTGGCAACAAAAGCTGGACCAATGCCTAGTTAAGCAGCTACCTTAATCATTATGCCACCACCGCTCTAAATTAAATAATAGGTAATAATATGAAGTAATTCAAATTGTTTGAAATAAAATGTAACATTTAGCATCAAGTATAATGAGAAAAAGATCCCATAGTGAAAGTGTACAAAATAAACTCCCAAAAAGAATCAAAAACTGCAGCATTCATGAAAACCAACCTATGGTTTTTTTTTTAAGGGCACGAGGGAGATTTTTTTTTTTCTGACTAAGGGAAAAAAATAAATAAGAGAACTTACACACGTAAAGAATTCCCCGTGTGGAAGAAAAAATTAACAGAGCCCCTATTCCCTCTCCCCTTTCCAAAAAGTGACTAATTAGAGGTTTTTCTTCGAAGTCAGAGTGCATCTGCCTGAGAGGTGAGAAAGCAACAGTCTGCATACAAATATGCCAGATCTCTCAAATGAATGGGTCCACAAACTCAAGTTCTAAAACACGAGCAAAGCGGCAAACAACTAGATCTTTGCACCAAGTTTACAGCACGTGAATGCTAAAAAGAAGAAAACAAACAATGAAACAAACAGAACCCCTCTGAAACTGTTAACATAACAACAGCAGTAAAAGATGATTTTGCTATAGAGCAAAACCAAAGCAGCATCATGCAAACAACAATTTATGAAAACAAGAAAGCTGAATATTTCTAAAAGCATGACTTGAAAACAGTTGTTGAAAAAAAACATAAAAGAACAAGTTCAATTGCAATGACAATATTTTTAAACTTTTGAAACTTTAGGTAGTTGTAAAATTTTAATTTAGTAAGCAGAATCAAAATTTTAAACAGATATCATAAAGAGACAGTTAATGCAGACCCAAGGACCACCCCCCCACCCCCTCCCCACCACACCTCACTCATACATACACACACTCATAACAAATACAAAAAATCAGCAGCAGCAATTACAGAATTATCTATAACTAGCAACACAACTTAGAAAATATGACTCACAAGCAATAACACAAGGAAATACCTTCAATTCTGCTAGAGCTAATCCACACATACTCGTACTTTGCTGCCTCATATGCTGGAGCCATATTCTGAACCATTGGATTCACAATATCATGTCTTTTCCCTGTATCTAAAGTGATTACAAATTAAAAACAAAATACAATATCAAGTTAGTTGCGTAACCTTTATAGGATGTTGCAGAACCAACCGCCAGCATTTTTAGCTGTTGTGGTTTTTCTAGGCAAATTTATGTCAAGTAGTTTGCATTGCTCTCTGGATGGTCAGCTTCTCGATACCTGTGACAAAACCCAACGCAAGGCATGCAGCTGGGATCGAACCCAGCATTACGAAGTTTGTTCTCAATGCCTAAGAAACAGACCCCGACACAATATACAGAAGCTAAACTATGATTTCATTTTTTTTAAAAGAAAAACCACAGCAATAAATCTAATTTGAATGATCACATTTATCAAAAGTTAGCTGTGTTTTACCGGACACTGCAGAACCAACCCCCAATTTCTTTGCTGTTTATGGTTTTACTAGCTTAGGCATTGCGAGGCAGACTCGTAATTCCAATGTACAACGATCGAAACTTACTGCTGGCTGTGTGGATTTTTATCATGGTTTGGGGCGTCGCAGGTTGACTAAGCCTTAAATGGGTTCCAGGATGTATGTCCAGGGAAAGTAAAGACAGCCCGCGTAATGCTGACTACATTACCCATGTTGTGCCAATTGGTCTGCAAAAATATGGGTGCTCTTCCCATATGCCCGATGCGCCTAAAGGCGTGAAAAGGAATCTTTTTTTTTTTTTTTTTAAACCTTACTTATGGTTTTACTAGGCAACTTTCCGTTCAGTAGTTTGTCTATGCTTCTCAATGGTTGGCTTTTGATATCCTTGCCGAAATCAATGCAAGGCTGTCTGCTTCCAAACTGAACCTGGTTTCTCTGAATAATGGCTGAAGCATGTTTGCAATGCCTAAGCTAGAGATGCTAACAAAGCAGGTTAAATGTGTCAGCTTCCATAGACTTTATCTCGTTAAAATATGAAAACTGGTAAAAAGTGAAACTTTAGTAAGATTAATTTAAGATTGTAGGGAGTCAAAGCGACACACTAGCCTGATGCTTGCCTGCTGGTATGAAGGTCTTGTGTTTAAATCCTCACAAAAGTGCAAATTTAGCATTGACCTTGGCACTCTGGTCGACCAAGCCAAAAATGTGTTCTATGGAATGTCCAGGAAAGAAATGGTGGCCGGTGAATTTAACCAAATAATCTGGTGAGTGCTTACTGGACTATAAAAACACAGATCTAGCACATATATGCTTGGTGTACCAAAGCCAAAAAGGGCCCTTTTCTCTTTCTTTGGTTTACACTGTGACATGAAAACTGCACAATCTTAAACAAAGTATGTACACTGTGACATGAAAACAGCACGATCTTAAACAAAGTATGTACTCTGTGACATAAAAACGGCACAATCTTAAACAAAGTATGTACACTGTGACATGAACACTGCACAATCTTTAACAAAGTATGTACACTGTGACATGAACACTGCACAATCTTTAACAAAGTATGTACACTGTGAAATGAAAACGGCACAATCTGAAGCAAAGTATGTACACTGTGACATGAACACTGCACAATCTTAAACAAAGTATGTACACTGTGACATGAACACTGCACAATCTTAAACAAATTATGCACACTGTGACATGAAAACAGAACGATCTTAAACAAAATATGTACTCTATGACATGAAAACGGCACAATCTGAAACAAAGTATGTACACTGTGACATGAAATCAGCACAATCTGAAACAGAGTACAGATTTTAAAAACTGCAAAACACAAAGTTAAAAAAAGGAAACAGTAAAAAATCAAAATAATATCTGCATTAATGAGCTGTAAAAAACAATTTTAAAGGATGCAGCATTGTTTATGACAGTATTTTTTTTTCATCGAACACCGGCTGTTAATTCCGGTGGAAGGTCCCGGTTAATCGTCCACTTGGACTTTTGGCTTTCACCTGGACCTGATTTTTGCGTGTACAACCGTTTTTCATTTCCCTGCCTCTTGGGCAGCTGTACGCCGACTTCGAAGGAATTTATGACAGTATATATCAGCACTTGAAAGACAATGACCACACTAAGAAGGCATACAAAAAATAAACTTGCCATAAAATATTGGAAAAAAAAAAAAACCCATAAGTGTCGGACATCCATGGATCTACCTCTACTGAGACAGACATTAACAATCAAAAGTCTTTACTCTCCAACTTTAAGTACGAATACCCTGGTCCTAACAAGCATGTAAAGAATTGATTGATGAGGGGTCTTTCCTTCAAAGTCAAGTCAGAGTACATCTGCTTGAAAAGCCAGAAACCAACAGTCTGCATAAAATAAGCCAGAACTGTAAAATGGATGAGCACACAAACACTCAGATTCTGGAGCAAGATTCGAGTCCAGAAGTGGATGAACAACCAAAACTTTCTGCCTGGTTTAAAGCTGGTGAACATGAAGCAGAAGGTACCCATTTGAACGATTATGCACACAAATAATTGATAATAATCAGAAATTATAATAATAAGATTAAATGATAAGAATGAATAATAATCAGAAATTATAATAATAAGAATAAATTATCATAATTAATAATAAAAACGATCATAATAAGAATACATGATAATAAAAATGAATAATAAAACAAATTATGATAACAAGAATAAATGATAATAAGAATGAATAAACATGTACTAAGTTAAGAAGTTTACCTGTAAACAAAGTTACATCTACATGAGGATACAGTTCCTGCAGCCTTTTAACAACCAAAATGGCCTCATCATTTTCATCATGAAAGCAAAATAGCAGCTCAAACTAAGGAATAAATATTTTTAGAAAATTATACTCATTTACAAAAGTGAATAATGTTTTTAAAAAATATATATATATAAAATTTACTACATTTTACTCTTAAAAAAATGAAAACTTTTAAAATAGTTTGGTGATAAATGTTTTACTATGAACATATGTAATTTCATCGTCTTCCTGTTCATATTCTTCCCAGTTTACTCACCTTTTAATTTCCTGGTATACCACAGTACTACATACCTCCTTGAAGGACAGATGTGTTTTTTAAGCAGAATGCAAAAATATCATGGACAGATAGAAAAACAAACAACAAAATCATCCTCTAAAAGTTGGGAAAAAAAAAACTTCCTTTTTATGCCTTCGGTGCATCGTGCATATAGAAAGAGCACCCCATTATTTTTAATGGACCTAATCAGCACTAGGTGGGTAATGTGGTCAGCATTACGCGGACCGTCTTTACTTCCCCAGGACATTCATCCTGGTACCCATTTACGGCTGTGATTGCACATACCATGACAAAAATCCATGCAATCATCCTCTAGTCAGACCAAAACTGTTGTAACTTTTCAACTTAAAAGCCTCCCTAGTCTTTAGTGACTGTGAGATGCAATTTTTCGTTATTTGAATACCTACTCTGGCCAGGGGCCGCAATATAGCCCGGCCATAAATAGGATCTAATGGCTGAACGCGGTTTCTCTCCACGATTGATTCTCATCCACATTTGTGGCACTTTATGTCATCAGGGGCTTATCGCTTGTGTGATGTCCTGGTGGGGTAAAAGAAGATAGATAGATGCACACAGCATTGACTTTGATCTGTTTGCTGGTGATTAGCCATATACTTTTGGTGCTGTTTTAAATGTTGGCTATGGCCATCCTCCTTTTGACTTCAAATGAAAAGTCTCTATTGTTATTCATTACAGAGCCTAGATATTTAAAGTTTCTGAAAATTTAATGTCTCCATCCGTGATTGTTATTTTTTGTGACATTTAGTTTTGTGTGTGGGCACTATTTCTGTTTTCTTAAATTTAGAAAAAAGATTCTGATTATCTCCATGATTTTTGATTAACATGATTGACTGTTCAAATCCCTGAACACTATTCAAAAGGAGGAAATGCTAAATTTGAATGCCACCAATTAAAACTGGATCAAGACTGTCACATATATGATCACCTTTTGATGTTTCTCACTACACTTTCTGCCTGTTTATGGTTTCAAACTGAGAACTCCTGGAATAAACCATCCTCTATAGTATCACAGAGCCACTCAGTGCATTTCATGAAATTGTTAATTGATCCATTTCATTGGAAACAGTTTCTGGGCTCAGAGCAAAGCATAAGTAAAAGACCTTTTTAATGCCAGTGACGTATAAACATATGATGCTAGACTAATTTTTTGTGTGTGGATAACTAATCGAAACTCATTTGGTAATGTGGTAAACATCTGTCAGCCATCTTTACTTCCCAGAAAATTTTCTTGTATTCATATTTGGTAGGTGCTATGAGTACTGTGAGAAAAATACCTTGTGATACATAAGCTTGAAGTGACTCTTTAGACTATAGATTAAGTAGAAAATCATCTATGGTTTCAGAATTGGAACTCCTGGGAAGAACAATCTGCTAAAATACCATACAACCACTTAGTTCATTTGATGAATGTATTTATTTAGCTACTTGCAAGGAGACAAAATGGGAGCTAAGGTGCTGTAGCAACTAGATGCCCACTTGCCTGTCTGAAGGACTCAGGTTCAAATCCTCATCAATTCAGATGTTATTTTCTTACAAAAATGACACTGACTCAAAGGGTTGACCCAGCAGAAAATGGGTACCAGGTAAAGTCCTGGAAAGTAAAGGTGGCCATCATGATCTTGACGAGATCACCAAACTGAGGTCCAATTCACCTATAAAAATGTAAGTTAAGCATCAGATGTTGAATTGCTTCAATAGCGTTAAAAGGGTATTTAGTTTTTTCCCTATAAATAGAATCTCTGTGCTAAAAGAAAAGTATTCAAGAAAAATACCTTTGGGTACATAAGTTTGAAGTGGCTCTCCAAATTGTGCTCTAAAAATGAATCAACTCCCATCAATGGTTTGATAATGGAAACGCCAGGAACAACGTCTCCAAGCTCATGTATGCCTGTCGGTTTGTGCAGGTACATTTTGCTGCAGAATACACATAACTCAGTCTTTTAATTCTTCTTCAGTAAGCAATAACAAGTATGACAACTGAACTAAGGTTTTTATTCATTCATTGTCCTGAAATGGTGTGGCCATTTAATGAGAATGAATACAATAATGCCAGCAAGCAGAAGGTACAAAAAGGAAACAAAAACTACAACAGGGAGGGGACCATTAATGAAAAGATTGTTTGAAGCAATGCTTGAGACTCCACAACATCGCAGCATATTGGAAAATAGCATGTCTTAGCTGAGAATACGATCATCTGTTAACTTGTGATGCATAGCGGCACAAAGCAGAAACTGGACAAAAGTCTGGCCGGGTGTGCCATTATGTGACATTGGGCTCGCAGTCTATTTCTCCATTACATTATAACCTATCAATCACTTCAATATTATGGATATTATTTGCCTCCTCTCATCAATGTTTGCCTTAGGGTTTCTCTTCGATGGCCTCATTTCCTCAGTACCTTAATTTTCCATTTAGTGCTTGTCTGGTGATTATCTATTTATTTTTTAGCGCAAAAAACTGATGAAGAAGAAAGAAATGACTGAGCAGTTATCATTGAGTATACCAGCTATCATTTGCAGCCAACCTTCATTGTGGAAACAATAAGCAATAGGCAATGTAAATTATAGCTCTAATCTCATCTCCCTGCAAATACTGCAAAACCACAGTTCACTGCTGACTTGGCTGACACACTTCATCAAGATCAAACATTTAAACTGCAGAGAACCATGGATTTGCAGTATTCCTATAAAAACATGTATGATCTAATATATACACTTTTATATTTTCTAATTAATACATTAAGTGGAATTACAAACTACATTTTTTTAACAATCTATACTCCTAAAATCTGTTATAATGATTACATAATCTAGGCAATATCAAATAACTTAAGGTAACTGATAAGCATAAATATCCAATATCGAAAAGCATAAATACCCAATATCAAAATACACAACTGATATATATATATATATACCAGTTATAATCTAGATGGGTTGAATAGGACAACTTTTTATAAATTACTACTACTACTATCACATTTTTGCCTTTCTCCAGCCTACAGCCAGAGTTTCATTGTACAGCAGCCAGTCCATCTGTGCTGCGTGCAAACATCACCAAGTTACATCCTAACATGTCTCTCTGCAGATGTGTAAATTAGGATTAACTATAGCAGCCACACACGCAAAAAGATGTCAGAAAGTATGTTGGTTTACCTGCCTATTAATGACAAAATGATGAAGAATGCCATCATTAGGTAGGTTAACAATGCTGCACTGGCCACCACAAACAACACATAAAATAGTGTATCTGAGGGTGACTCCACATCCCACATCTGTTGAAGACAATATACCCAATTCAATTAAAATATGTAAACAAATCAATTTTAAACAATTAAATGATATATTTGCATATGATTAATCTTAATCTGAAGACATTTGAGGTTATAACATGTTACCTGAAGAATGTACAAGTGTTTTAAAAAAATGTTTTAAAAGAGTTAAATGACAGTCTCACATAGTAACACATGATTAAACTTGAAATTAGGACACTGAGTTAAGTTGATTTAAGAACCGATGTCACAGCACTCAGAGCATTCCCATAAGCGCTCTGTCCCCCTTTTCAGCAGCCAGCACAAAGTTCTAATATCAATGGTGCCAGTAGCAGTCTGATTAAATGTCCGTCTTGTCTTTCCTCTGAGTGTTGAGTATCGGCCAAATTCCTTCGTCTCCTCGCTGAATCACTCTCACTAGACTGTGGTGATACATTTTCTCCTCCAAATTGTACATGTGCAAATATTAGGCATTGACTACATCTGCCTTATCATGCAATAATATTCCACCAAGTTGTGCAAAGCCAGCCAGTCTGTCTGCCTGTTCATTTCCTAACACACCGACATACCCCTAGAAAAGATCTAGTTAAGCTTCTCACCTGTGACTTCCAAAGTCAGTTGCAATCATGATGCATGGGGGTATCATGTTCCCTAACCAACGGAAAGCTGCAGTGACATACACTTCGATTCTTAAGCTGGATGTTGTGGTATCATATGCCAGGCTAACAAGCACCAAACATTGACAATTAACTTTTGCTAACAACCCATAAGCACTTCTTTTGCCTCCTGACACTGAAATGTCTGTATAAATAATCACATCATCTGAGCAAGCATTATCTTGAATTAAATGCTGAATTACCACCTCTATGGCACCTTCTTGCCACTCTCTGCACTCCTGGCTCAGTGGGATAATGACTCAACACAAATCTGACTGTTCAGCTGGAACTCTAACACACTCCTCTCCTTGCCTAACATTCTCCAGGAGGCTAACCTGTCTGATCGTATTGTGACCTCTGCCTGAACCATCAATGACACACCATTGGGGTGTCTCTGGTACAGCCTGACCCACATATATAGCTGCACTCTGTATGCGCTCTAGTTTAACCAGCTGACTCTTTGATACAGTCTGCAGTCCTTGTCCATAATCAATCACTGAGAGGATCAAGTGCTGATATAGTGTGAAAAGCATTCTTTGCTCCATGTCCATTGCAGCCATCCTAAATGCAATCTTTTGCAGTCTTCTTTTGGCATCTTGTCACAATCGTTTTCACATGGTCCTTGACTCCTGTCAATTATGATTCCAAACACTAGTTTGCTTATACTCATACTTCAGTTTGCTCTCTTTGCTAATGTTTCTACCATCTACTGTGAGACTTATGACATCAGCTCAAACAATCATGTTGTCTAGAGAACAACACAAAACAGACATGCATTTTCTGAATGGACAACAGCACTCATTTCTGTTCACCATTCAGTCACTTTGTCTACTATCGCTTGTAGCTCCTAGGCTGTTTGTTCCTTCTTTTCCCCCTGCCTATATGCAAGTTTATCATCCACAAAAGTCAGTATCCTTCCAACTCCTGGTGCTCCCAGGCTTGCAGTCTTGTTCATATACATGTTAAAGAGCACAGGTGAGATGGTGGGACCCTGTGGCAGTCCCAGGGCTATAATGTATGGCTCTGAGGTCCATGTACATATCCAATTCACCAACCAGATGCTGGTCTTACTCTATTATGGGCATCCTCAAGATCCAGCACTGCCAAAATCATTTCCTGTCTGCTCTAGAACCCTTCATAAACACTAAAGACAAAATGGCTGCATTTGACCAGGTATCTTTTCTTGGTTTGTAGCCACCCCCCCCCCCCCCTTCCATCCCCTGACCTTTTTGGAGAGGATTACCCCTTTCCAAAAATTCAAATTCTTGCAGACTGACAGAGACTATCTTCTCTAAGACCTTTCCAAATGTATTTTGCAAGGTGATTCTTTGAATGACCCTTAAATGGTTCAGGAAGTGGGATTAGATAGATGTGCACCCAATTATGCAATACTCATGCTGTCCTAATGCTTTTGTTAAAGCAGTTAGTCATCTCTCTCATGTCTACAGCGCTCAATGCCTTTATGTGGCCATACCTAACCTCGTCAGGCCCTAGTGCCACATCTTTTGCCTTTTTCAAAATATGTTTGAGATCTTTAACTTGGGGCATATCTTCATAATGCATTTTCATTAAAGTGCCAGATAACGCCTCTCTAACTGCATCCCTGATGTCTGCGTCATTATGCCATGTCTGCACTATTGACCTCTGGAGAAATGCCTACCCTTTCTCTTTGTCTGTTGTCATGCACACATCATCGTCTCTATAAATGGTTCCTACTGTAATAGTCTGATCTCCTCTTTGCATTTGCCTTTGCAGTTTCCAGAATTTTCTCAGTGTTTTATTAACTTTAATATCACTCATAAAATGTTCCCATTTTGTTTTGGTTTTTTTGGCATCTCCCATAAAATGTTCCCATTTTGCTTTGACTTCTGAAGCACAGCGCTTGAAAACCTCCACCTGGTCTTTTATAACATTTACTGCCATCTCGACTTCCTCTCGTGATCTGGTGTGTGTCACATTTCCTTCAGCTGCTTCACTGCAGTTATCTTGCCTTCAATGCCTATTCTACTTCTGGAGTCCATCCACCATAGGAGCTGTTACCAAAAAAAAATTTGTTTTCAGATTCCTGTTGCATGCCCTGTGTCTGAAGCAACCAGGTAGGGTGTTGGTCCATCATGATAGTCTTGCATGCTCTTCCAGCCTTAACCTCACTGGAAATGGAAATCTGGACTGAACATGGTAGGTGATCACTCCCATGGTCATTCATGACAGTCCATTTTGCATCAAGAACCAATGATGGGAGACAAATACCAAGACAATAGCTTGTGTCTGCAAAGTCAGGCCTCATTTTCATTCAAGCTGGCCTCCAATAATTGATGCAGACCATTCTGGAGTCAGCCATGGCATCTGCAAAGGCAATTCCCTGTTGGTTTTCCCTGCTGCTGCCCCAATCTCTGTTCCTCACACTAAAGTCGCCACATATGATCAGCCTATCACCTGATAATTTCCCCAGTTAACTCAGCCAGTCCCATTGTCTCCTTCTGGCACCCACAAACACATATATATATATATATAAGAGGGTTCAACTTAAGCCACCAACATTCATCTGTATACCCTGACCCTCTCTTCTACTGGGATTCTACTGGCTCAAGTCCAGTCCCATATGCTTCACTTCTTTCTTCACCAGCAGACCTTGCCCATGTCTCCCTTGTCCCATGGGTTTATAGAACTAACGTACCCAGGGCAATGATCACTATATTCAGTTCCTGAAGCATGATGACATCAAAATCATATTTCAGCCTCTCTAGTACAGGAATTAAGACATTTAAAGGTAGTATGTGTTAGAGAAAGAAAGAATATGTGTGAGTTCATACTTTTCAAATCAATAAATAACATACTCTAATATGATTACCTTTAAAATAAAGATATTTAATATCTGAAATTATTACACGTAGAAGCATAAAATACTTTTGTTCATAAGTACAGAATGTGATGTGCAAGGTGCTGGGAGTATGGACATGGTGCTGGGTTCATGTTTGTATTTACCAACTGAATTTGATGCACAAGATTGCTAGCTATCAGATCAGCCATGAACATGTTAGCTATCATACTGGTCATAAGATTGTTGGCTATTATATCAGCAATAAGATTGTTAGCTATTATACCAGCCAAAAGATTGTTAGCTATCATACTGTTCATAAGATTGTTAGCTATCATACTGTTCATAAGATTGTTAGCTATCATACTGTTCATAAGACTGTTAGCTATCATACTGGTCATAAGATTGTTAGCTATTATACCAGCCATAAGATTGTTAGTTATCATACAGGTCATAAGGTTGTTAGCTATTATACCTGCCATAAGACTATTAGCTATTATACCAGCCATAAAATTGTTACCTATCATACTGGCCATAAGATTGTTAGCTATCATACTGGCCATAAGACTGTTAGCTATTACACCAGCCATAAGATTGTTAGCTATCATACTGGCCATAAGACTATTAGCTATTATACCAGCCGTAAGATTGTTAGTTATCATACAGGTCATAAGACTGTAAGCTATTATATAAGCCATAAGATTGTTAGCTATCATACTGTCCATAAGACTATTAGCTATTATACCAGCCATAAGATTGTTAGTTATCATACAGGTCATAAGATTGTTAGCTATTATACTGGTCATAGGACTGTTAGCTATTATACTAGCCATAGGATTGTTAGCTATCATACTGGTCATAGGACTGTTAGCTATCATATCGATCATAAGATTAATAGCTATCATGCTGGTCATTACATTGTTAGCTATTATATTAGCCATAAGATTGTTAGCTATCATACTGGTCCTGGTCATAAGATTGTTAGCTATTATACCAGCCATAAGATTGTTAGCTATCATACTGGTCCTGGTCATAAGATTGTTAGCTATTATACCAGCCATAAGATTGTTAGCTATCATACTGGCCATAAGATTGTTAGCTATTATACCAGCCATAAGATTGTTAGCTATCATACTGTTTATAAGATTGTTAGCTATTATACCAGCCATAAGATTGTTAGCTATCATACTGTTCATAAGATTGTTAGCTATCATACTGTTCATAAGATTGTTAGTTATCATACTGTTCATAAGACTGTTAGCTATCATACTGGTCATAAGATTGTTAGCTATTATACCAGCCATAAGATTGTTAGTTATCATACAGGTCATAAGATTGTTAGCTATTATACCGGCCATAAGACTATTAGCTATTATACCAGCCATAAAATTGTTGGCTATCATACTGGCCATAAGATTGTTAGCTATTATACCAGCCATAAGATTGTTAGCTATTATACCAGCCATAAGATTGTTAGCTATTATGCCAGCCATAAGATTTTTAGCTATCATACTGGCCATAAGACTGTTAGCTATTATACCAGCCATAAGATTGTTAGCTATTATACCAGCTATAAGATTGTTAGCTATCATACTGGCCATAAGACTGTTAGCTATTATACCAGCCATAAGATTGTTAGATATCATACTGGCCATAAGACTATTAGCTATTATACCAGCCATAAGATTGTTAGTTATCATACAGGTCATAAGATTGTAAGCTATTATACCGGCCATAAGACTATTAGCTATTATACCAGCCATAAGATTGTTAGTTATCATACAGGTCATAAGATTGTTAGCTATTATACGGGCCATAAGACTGTTAGCTATCATACTGGTTATAAGATTGTTAGCTATTATACCAGCCATAAGATTGTTAGCTATCATACTGGTCATAGGACTGTTAGCTATTATACCAGCCATAGGATTGTTAGCTATCATACTGGTCATAGGACTGTTAGCTATCATATCGATCATAAGATTAATAGCTATCATGCTGGTCATTACATTGTTAGCTATTATATTAGCCATAAGATTGTTAGCTATCATACTGGTCATAAGACTGTTAGCTATTATACCAGCCATAAGATTGTTAGCTATCATACTGGTCATAAGACTGTTAGCTATTATACCAGCCATAAGATTGTTAGCTATTATACCAGCCATAAGATTGTTAGCTATCACACTGGTCATAAGACTGTTAGCTATTATACTGTTCATAAGATTGTTAGCTATCATACTGTTCATAAGATTGTTAGCTATTATACCAGCCATAAGATTGTTAGCTATCATACTGGTCATAAGACTGTAAGCTATTATACCAGCCATAAGATTGTTAGCTATTATACCAGCCATAAGATTGTTAGCTATCACACTGGTCATAAGACTGTTAGCTATTATACTGTTCATAAGATTGTTAGCTATCATACTGTTCATAAGATTGTTAGCTATTATACCAGCCATAAGATTGTTAGCTATCATACTGGTCATAAGACTGTTAGCTATTATACCAGCCATAAGATTGTTAGCTATCATACTGGCCATAAGACTGTTAGCTATCGTATCGATCATAAGATTGTTAGCCATCATTCAGGCCATATTGTCTATCAGAAAATTCTCTACTGCCTAATAAAATCCGCGTCAGCAACTGTGGCTTGAAGATTATGAATACAGTTTTATAATTCTGACATATCTGTCTGCTTCAGCTGCAAGAAATTTGGCAACTGACTGCTAGTTGATTTTGACAATGGTATGAATGTCAAACTTTTTAGAAAGCAATGACAGAGTACTGAACGTAACATTGCTTAGTGAAATTACAAACAGCCAAAAATTGACGGTGATGGTTCTATAATGACCTATAGAGGATATGCAATTAACATACCCAACATAAACTTCATCAAAATATCAGACAACAGAGATGTTTGCAAAAGCCATAGTTAATGGCATCTACTCTAGACCAGACATATAAAGAAAAAGAGGAAGACTAAGGTGGTTGGGGGTGGGGTGAAGGACATGAAGAAGAAACAAGAAAAAGATGTGCCAGAAGCAGCAGTTTTATTTTAGCAGTTTAAGATATCCAATACTAAAATTTAAAACAGAAAGGAAAACACAATACAGTGGTACTTTAGAATTAAAACAACTTGGAATCTGAACGTAACTTTCAAGTTTTTGCCTTAGAATGTGAATGCCACCTTGGGAACTGAAGGCCTGGCATATGCTACCACACAGTGACATCTACGCTTCAGTTTGTTTTCGTTTGCTGTGCCAAATGTGTCGTGTCTCGGCTGATCCCCTCATGTGATTTTCCCAGCAAATTTTATGAATTTGTACTTATTCCAATATTTTACAACCCTGTGGTCAAGAATCCAAGAATTTGTTGAGGGGTGGTACCCTAATTGAGTCAGCTCACAGACATGTTAAATTACATGTAAACCTGAACAGAGCGTGTCAAACAAAATTTTAAGTGTGAATTTAGGGGAAGAAAAAGATATACCCAAATAAATTACACGGTCTGTGTTTTCTGCCCACATCCTGAATTCCTTGGTGTAAAGGTCCTGTGCTGAGGGCCTATATGCACAATGTGTTTGCCTGTGCTGAGGGCCTATATGCACAATGTGTTTGCCTGTGCTGAGGGCCTATATGCACAATGTGTTTGCCTGTGCTGAGGGCCTATAAGCACAATGTGTTCGCCTGTGCTGAGGGCCTATATGCACAATGTGTTTGCCTGTGCTGAGGGCCTAAATGCCCAATGTGTTTGCCTGTGCTGAGGGCCTATATGCACAACGTGTTTGCCTGTGCTGAGGGCCTATATGCACAATGTGTTTGCCTGTGCTGAGGGCCTATATGCACAATGTGTTTGCCTGTGCTGAGAGTCTATATGCCCAATGTGTTTGCCTGTGCTGAGGGCCTATATGCACAATGTGTTTGCCTGTGCTGAGGGCCTATATGCACAATGTGTTTGCCTGTGCTGAGGGCCTATATGCACAATGTGTTTGCCTGTGCTGAGGGCCTAAATGCCCAATGTGTTTGCCTGTGCTGAGGGCCTATATGCACAACGTGTTTGCCTGTGCTGAGGGCCTATATGCACAATGTGTTTGCCTGTGCTGAGGGCCTATATGCACAATGTGTTTGCCTGTGCTGAGAGCCTATATGCCCAATGTGTTTGCCTGTGCTGAGGGCCTATATGCACAATGTGTTTGCCTGTGCTGAGAGCCTATATGCCCAATGTGTTTGCCTGTGCTGAGGGCCTATATGCACAATGTGTTTGCCTGTGCTGAGGGCCTATATGCACAATGTGTTTGCCTGTGCTGAGGGCCTAAATGCCCAATGTGTTTGCCTGTGCTGAGGGCCTATATGCACAATGTGTTTGCCTGTGCTGAGAGCCTATATGCCCAATGTGTTTGCCTGTGCTGAGGGCCTATATGCACAATGTGTTTGCCTGTGCTGAGGGCCTATATGCACAATGTGTTTGCCTGTGCTGAGGGCCTTTAAGCACAATGTGTTTGCCTGTGCTGAGAGCCTATATGCACAATGTGTTTGCCTGTGCTGAGGGTCTATATGCACAATGTGTTTGCCTGTGCTGAGGGTCTATATGCACAATGTGTTTGCCTGTGCTGAGGGTCTATATGCACAATGTGTTTGCCTGTGCTGAGGGTCTAAATGCCCAATGTGTTTGCCTGTGCTGAGGGCCTAAATGCCCAATGTGTTTGCCTGTGCTGAGGGCCTATATGCACAACGTGTTTGCCTGTGCTGAGGGCCTATATGCACAATGTGTTTGCCTGTGCTGAGAGCCTATATGCACAATGTGTTTGCCTGTGCTGAGGGTCTATATGCACAATGTGTTTGCCTGTGCTGAGGGTCTATATGGACAACGTGTTTGCCTGTGCTGAGGGTCTATATGCACAACGTGTTTGCCTGTGCTGAGGGCCTATATGCACAATGTGTTTGCCTGTGCTGAGAGCCTATATGCACAATGTGTTTGCCTGTGCTGAGAGCCTATATGCACACTGTGTTTGCCTGTGCTGAGGGCCTATATGCACAATGTGTTTGCCTGTGCTGAGGGCCTATATGCACAATGTGTTTACCTGTGCTGAGGGCCCATATGCACAATGTGTTCGCAAAGATTTGTTTCTATGCAGAAGCTTACATACCTTCTTATTTCTTTTTATATTGTCATATCCTGCTGGAGTAGGCCACTGGTCAGATAGTTTAAACTAACATTCAAATCTCAAATAACATATAACTGGAAACTTATAATGTTGGCATTGAAAAAAAAAGAAAGAGTTTCCAACAGATAGGGGAAATAAAGTAAACAAGCAGTTGATGCTGTGTGTGGCTCTTGTTTGAATGTGTAGCAATCCATAATCCCATTAACATGTAAATGGCTTGGGGTTGTCACAAGTTTGCTTGTTAACTCCAGCATCAATAATTCACATAAAATATCCCTGCTAGCAGAAAGGGAGGGCATTGTGCTGTGTCATGCTAAAGAATTAAAGCTTGAGCGTGTAGTTAACAGTTAACAGCTAAGCGCCCTTGCTTACCAAGGCAGTGGTTCAGATTTAATGCCCAGCACTTACCTTGTAGATTTTTTCTTGACTAATTTGACTTTTTCAAATGAAATATGGAAATCTAAATTGTACAGTTTTAAGTCCAAGTTACGTATTTTCAATTCTAATGTTTTTTAAATTTTAAAATTTGCCCGTGAAGTTTGGAGAACCACTAGAGACAGATGTTAAATGAACTTGAAAATAAATACCAGAGGAAAACATTCAACATAAAATGGGATGAATTCAAGAGGGGTGATGAAATAAGAGAAACGTCTAGGCAAACATGTTAAGTTATAACACAAATTAAATGGTGCTATATTGGGCACATCCTGAGAAAAAACAAGCTGAGAATCTCTAAGCAGGCAATGAAATGGGAAACACAAGGACTTAGGAAGCAACAGTTCACAAAACAACACTAAAATTAATGTTAAGGAATAAGGCCAAAGGTGCTGGACTGAATTCCATGCCATCCATGATGTCGAAAGGAGTGCCCAGAACAGAACAGAATCGACTAATAGACTGCGAGCCCTGTGTGACATATAATGGAACAACAGGACCAGGATGATGATGAAGACAGTGATAAATATGGCTATGAGGTCTATCACAGTTATCATCATAGTGCTGTGCCATTTGGAAGTCACATGCGGAAAGCAGCTCTGTTCTGTTCTATTCCACACAGTATTTTCCAACACCATGGAGCACAGTTCAGGTACAACTAGCCTCATACAATGGATGCTGGATAATTTAGAAGTGTCTCAGAGCTTCAACTGGCCAGACAAATAGATATTTCGTGCAAAGACTTCGGCTAAGTTATTTTGTGTATTCTTCTTTGTGACTGTAAACAATGACTATTGATGTCCTGTGCTGATAAATGCTTTCTATCTGAACTGTTCACTCGTTGGTTATGACTGTGATAATGTAAAGCTGATTAATTCTATTTCTCCTTTGGTTTTATATCTTTTCTGAATAACTGTTTACATTTGCTTGGAAAGGGGGGTGAGAAAGGCAATTGTAAGCACTTGAACTCTTTCACACTACTGTTCAGTCAGGCTTTAAGTGCTAAACACACTTTTAAGGACCAAGTGGTACTTGATGGGTGCTGTGATCAACATCTAGATATTATGAAGGAATGGAATCAGCTGTCCCACTAACATAGGTAGTTAGTTAGTTAATCAATCAAAGGATTATCCTCGCTGTGCATTGGATAAGTCCATAAGGGCTCGGATCCCATGTTCATTATATCCCTCAGCGTTTAGCGACCGATAACATCAGTTCTGTGTTGGCTTACTATTCTTCTTTGGCTACCCATATAGTGTTCATGTTTGGCGACGCCACTTTTGACCTGAAGTTCTTGTAGTCTTTTGAGTGTTGCCAATTCAACTTTGTCTCCTGAATCACCTTCTCATCCTGCCTCCTTAAGAGCAGTGAGAATGTCAGACTGGTCCACTGCTTCTCCTGTACCTATTGTAGCCCTACCAGCAAGCTAATCCACTTGTTCATTTCCTTTTACCGAAGAATGTCCTGGCACAGAAATAAAATTAATTTCTATCAGATGAGATTTCCTCAGTGACTCCGACTAATCAGATAAGATTTCCTCAGTGACTCCGACTAATTTCTTTGAATCCACCCTGTCTCTATCTTTTTATGAATCCTTGTGGAATCACTTAGAAAGCATGAATGGGGGAAAAATGCTATGTCTCTAGCCATCACCTCCATAGCCAGACTACTCATAGTCGAGGCAAAAGCCCCGCTATTTTCTTTTACAGTTCTCCCTCAAACCAGAACTGTAAAAGCCCTGAGCTTTGTATGTGTCAAATGATGGATCCATCAGCGTAGATAACTGCACCTCTGTCAGCGAAATTTTCAACAATAAAAGCCACAAACATAATAAAAGCATACACATACTGAAGTACAGCTGTTCAGTCAGCCAGCTACTGCCCTCAATTAGAGGCAGAATATTTGGATCATTGTGAGCATATGTCTTTCTTTTTGTATACTGCTTAGTGTGATTTTCATCTCTTGTTCCCCCTCACTGTGAGTGCTAATCAATACCGGCAAAATTATTTATTTTGCGTTTTATGTGGCTTCAAAGTAATAGCAATATTAACATACAAAATATCCTGTTTAACCCTCAGGGTCATAAAGTGTCTATGATATTTTCAGTATATACTTTTGCTATTTTATATACTGCTCAATCATTTCTCTCTGTCATTTTAGTAAATTCTTCTTCAGGGTAATAACTGTGGTATAAAGCGTCCATAGTATTTTCAGTATGTACTTTTGGTATATTATATACTGGACAATCACTTCTTTCAGTCATTTTAGTAACTTCCTTCACCTCTGGGTTATAAGTGTGATATAAAGTGTCTATGGTATTTTCAGTATACACTTTTACTATATTGTATACTGTACAATCCTTTCACTCAGTCATTTTTGTAACTTTTCTTCAGAGTTATAGTTGTGATATAAAGTGTCTATGGTATTTCCAGCATATACTTTTGCTATGTTATCATCATTTCTCTCAGTCATTTCAGTAACTTCTCTTCTTCTTCATCATCATGGTTACAACAGTGGTTATAATGGTGATATAAAGTGTCTATTGTATTTTCAGTATATACTCACTTTTAAGTTCAAGACATCCGATTTAAGCATAACTCCTAATTAGTTGCCTTTTAGGACATGCTTGTTCAGCTCTAATGCTCTATATTTTCAAGATTTCTTCTGTGTCAGTAGTGTCACTCTAACCCTAGAACTACCTTGTGACTAAATGTCTCAAATTGTGTAAATCCATCTGCATACAGAACTCTCCAACACCTGGGCCAACAATTCGGGCAATTTCTACTTACATAATATAAATGTTCAGGCTTTTCATCTCAGGTGGTTTTAACACTATCTATCCAAATATTTTTGCATTAACAGGTAAGTGGTCAGTCACTGTGCTACCTTGACTTCCCTCTCTCCTATGCTTAATGGCAAATATGAAC